CTAATTACAGAATTTTTACGTCCAGTCAAACGAACTATTTTCAACGTTTCTAGAACGTTTACAATCGTTCTATAATCGAACCAATAATCGAATTTTATGTTCGAATTTAATTCGAACAAATTCGAACATAACATTCGAAATAAAAAGCCACTTTCAACCACTTTCAGCCTCATATTTTCCGCACCCTTATAGCTATCGAGACGCAACCACCCCTATGCACGAATGGAGACATGGGGCTACTACCACATACAAACACCATTCACGTGCGATGTATAGTTTTGGCGAAAAAGTGAAATATAGGGTCACACACGTCTATTTATATATATATATATATATAATATTATTTTTCAGATATACCATAATTTCATCACTATCGGAAAATTTTATTCTTCTCTAAAATTTTTGGCATACATGTTCAAAGTATCTAACGTTTTTTATTTAATCGTTTAATATATTCGTTTAATATATTAAAAGTTATTAAAACAGAGACTGTTCAAAATGTGTTTTCCCTTGTCTTTTTATCGCTCAAAAAAAATTTACAAAACACTGAGAATTTACTTTTAATTGTAAACTTTAATCCTTATATATTAAATTAGACGAGATATTTACTCATGAATGCATAACAATGTAAAAGTAAATCGAAAACATTTAAAAAACCTTGTACAATGAAGTCTTTTGTCTTTTACATAATGTACTGAAATGCATAGTTTTAAATGAAAAAGGTCAAACGTCAGTGTGTTTTCAATTTGTTCTTAATGTGAAAAAAGACAAAGTCAAAGTTCGTGGCTTAAACAATGTTTGTGTTTACTGTTTTTTTTTGTGAACTTTACAAAGTATTCTAAACAACTGTCTTTATAATTGATTCATTTTCAGATAATTTGCTTCATGAAAAGATCCGGAGGAAGGCCTTTCGGTATATTCATGGCAGGATTTTTCTATATAAAGAAAAACTTTTTCATAAAGGTAAGTATTATAAATAAATATAAATAATCGTTGCAGTTTGCTTAACTGTACAGTGAGTAAACTGTAAACGTATATAGTGTGTTCAAAATTGTTTTAACAGGCATTTCGGGTTTATACTAAAACCGAGCTTTTTGCAATTGTTCTAAAATATAAAAAACAAATAATACATAACAATACAATAAAAATTATAATCGAAATACTATAATACTGTTATTAGGTACAACAACTTATACTTTTTCATATTACGCGAGCTTACACTTGATAGAGATTATTTGCTGATTTGTTTCAATAGTTNATTGTTCTAAAATATAAAAAACAAATAATACATAACAATACAATAAAAATTATAATCGAAATACTATAATACTGTTATTAGGTACAACAACTTATACTTTTTCATATTACGCGAGCTTACACTTGATAGAGATTATTTGCTGATTTATTTCAATACTTTCGGTTAGAAAGTGTTTGTGAAACTTAATGGTGTGATGTATTTGTCACATTGTTACATTTAGAGTCCGTGTATTTGTTTCTTAATGCATTTATAATTGTAAAAACGTAACTTATAATTAAGTATTATTCTTAAATATCAATTATATTTTACCTTAATTTAATTGTTATTTTGTACACCATTTTAATTGTTATTTTTACATCATTTTAATTGTTATTTTTTACACCATTTTAATTGTTATTTTTTACACCATTTTAATTGTTATTTTTTACACCATTTTAATTGTTACAGATGCTGAATTTACTTTATTCTATTTTGTCTTCTCTCATTGAAGTAACGGGAGATATGCATAAAAACAGATTCACTTCGATAATTGGTGCTAATGTTTTATGTAAAAACGAAAGTGTCGTATATACAGTAAAAGCCCGTTTGTCTGAATCAGTCTGAATCATTCGTTCCCTTTAAAGTGTGAACCAGAGAGGAGGTCAGAAGTCTTTCGCCTCTGTAACTAGTCAGGATGATACGTCAGGCGAGTGGAGGGAGTGTTGCTTGGGGTCGACGGTAAGGTGAAGGGCGTGATCAAGTAAAGGAGTCTACCATATTTAAAAAAATATAACAACAATTTATTAAACTAAGCAAAATGGACAAAAAGACTACACCAATAGCGTTTCTAAACCGCTTGATATCCGAGAGAGAGAGTTTTCTTGTTTTCATACCTTTTTGTAGGGTCCGTGACGTATAAGTCCGTGGAGCACTTAAATGTTTAAATAAAGGGGTCTTTTATCAACTAGAGCACAAATTTAAAAAGTTCGCGACTTTGGCAATAATACTGGTATCGACGATCGTATATCGGAATTCGGCGCGATGTCATCGGTCCGGCGTTCGTTAAGTGACTACCTTGAGAAGGGGTAAGAACGGCCTTTTATAGGTTTTTTTGGGGAATTTCTACCACGTGATCGGATGTTTATAAGTTAAAGGTTATAAGTGTTCCAGGGACTTAAACAAATGACGAAAGCTGGATGTTAACTATAAACTTTTCTGCAAGATGATCCGTAAGTTTTGCAAAGAACAATGGATGTTGCTAGTTATAAACGGAAAGTTCACACAAGCCCAGCTAAAATCGTTTTTTCTTCTAGGGCGTTACATAAACGAAAGTTTAATTAATTAACATTTTAGTTAATAAAGGAGCAGAATTTTTGTCACAAAAATTCTGGAAATCATATTTGTCCCCTTAATACTCTTGAAGAAAAATTAATTATTGTAATGAGTGTGAAAGAATAAAACATATCGAACACTATTTGTATATACTAACTAACTTAACATTTATGTAATGTTAATACAGATTCAGATTCATTTTATTAATAAAATACTGATTTACAGTACATACCTGGTGTCATAGACATATAACCAGGTGCAGACAAGAACATATTTGCATTATTACAGATCATTAACATTAGATACTACGGTAACATTACATGTGTAGTATGTACAGTACAAAAGATGGGGATAAAATAACAAGTTGTATGATACAGAAAACACATGCATTAAAATATTATACAGCAGAGAATTACAAAATACAGAATGTAAATAATAAACTGCAATACATTATAGAATAATAATGCAGACAAAGTATAATACAATATTTCAGTAGAAAACATTATACAATAGCAATTAACTAAATTTACAATGACTTATTTGAGAAAATTAAAATACATAAACAATAATATAAAATTCAGTAAGCAAAACATATAAAACATTAAGAAATTATAAAACAAAAAAACAGTGTGTTACAAAGTAATAGTACCTGTAGCAATAAAAATAAGACAATACAACACCGTTAATGAGATAATGAGAAAGGTTATTTGTATCCAGGAACGGTGGTGCGATGAAAGTATGCACTGATAAGCCTTGTGAGGGCCTCATAGGCGTCTTTATTGTCCAGGATACCGTGGGATTCATTGGGCCAGCAGTATCTGTGCGCCTCCATAGAGGACCTCAGAAAGTGCCTTTCGTGATCCAACATAAGACAGTTGAAGATATAATGATTCGAGCTGTCGTCCACACCACAAAGAGGACAATCAGAGTTTGCAGCTTCAATAAATTTGGCAAGGCAAGACTCTAACTTGCCATTATTTGTTAAAAATTGAGACATACGATGACATGGTTTGTACCAATTGTTTGAGAGAAATAGTTCAATATTGGGAATAAATTTGTGAGTAATTGGATGGTTAAGCGTGTTCCAATCATGTTGCCACTGCTTAAGTAAGTCTTTCCAAAGCATATTCTTGATGGTTTTAATGGTAGGACTATTATAGCAGATCCGGAGATTGTCGTCTTCACTGGCAGTCTTTGCAAGTATGTCGGCCTTCTCATTACCAAGTGTGCCCTGATGGGCACGAGTCCAGCTGACGTAATAGCTATTATTAGAGTTGTTAATGATGTCGTGGATACTGGCTGAGATAGGGTAAGAAGCTTGACTATTGAGCAGGGCTATAGAGGATTGACTGTCTGAGATGATGGACACTTTAGAATTGGTATAATTTAAGTCAAATCAGGCAATGGCCATTTTGATTGCATACATTTCAGCCTGAAAAGCTGTGCAGCCGGCACCAAGCTTGAACTGGCCTGAGGCAGTCTGCACATTGTCTCGGTAGACCACATAGCTACTGCCCACATTAGAATTGGTCTTAGATTTATCTGTAAATATTTGAATATCAGCATCATCAGGTCGCGAAAAGTTTAGTTTTTTAAGAGAAGCAAGGTGTTTAGTATCAGCGTATTGGACTGGTCGTTCTAACTCTTGACGATGTATTTGTTGATTATAATTATAATGTTAATACATTTTTTTTCATTAGATCGTCATCATTTCCCCATTTTGGGGATCAGAGTCACCCTTGTCCCGCTATCTGCACTACAAAGGAAACACTATCTTTATTCATTGTACTATTAAACATATTATACTTATAATCAAACAATTATAGTAAATTACAACTTATGTACTGTACATAGGCAGCTCGCCTTTACAAGATTGCGACTTTGTCGCAGAGATAGCAGCTCGCTTTCCCAGTCACGACAATATTGTTCGCGTGTAGGTTTTCACCTCCTGGACCAGATCTTTAGCCCGTATAATCATGTATAAATTCAAGCTTGTAATGTCCAATGTGTCTTTGACCAAAGAAAGTAACTGTGCTCTTTCCATATCGTACTTTGTGCACTCGTTAATTACATGGTCTAAACTATGTTTTCCATTTCCTCATTCACATTGAGTGTTTTGCTGTTTTCCAATTCTTTTTAAATATTTTCTTGTGTTACAGTGGTTAGTCAACAGTTGTGTGGTTATAAAGTCATTTGAGAGCCATCTTACATCATTTATATTTTCTTCTATATAAGGAAGCAACCAGAAGGTATGTCTCCCTATCATGCTATAACTCCACTCTTCCTGACATTCGTCTATTGATTCTTGTCGTAGTAGCCTTTTAATATATGATATTGGAATTTTATTATAAGTAGTTAATGTTAATGACGCGGCCTCTTTGGCTAGTACGTCTGCCTTTTCATTTCCTACAATTCCTATGTGAGCTTTCACCTATCTTATTTTGATCTTTAAGCCATATTCTTCTATTTGTTTCTTGGCTTCCAAAGCTATCATATTTTTGTCATTGAACTGCTTACGTGTCTGAATAGCAGCTCTACTATCTGTGTTTATTATTACTGAGCTAGTATGACAGGTAAAAATGACCCATCTTATTGTTTGTAATATTGCAAATAGTTCATCTTGATACACCGAACATATGTCATCTAATCTATATTGATCTTGGTAGATTTCCTCATTGTCTTTTATGACCAGGAAGAAGGCCCCTACCTGGCCCTCTACCTTAGATCCGTCAGTGTATATTTCTATCTCACTACTATCCTCTTCCTTCGCGATATTTATTGCTATCTGTTTGTAAGGTCCTGGTAGTATCATATCCGTTGATTGCATTTCATAATCTGTTCCTTGATAAGTTTCATTCTTAATGTTTATAGAGTATCCTCTTCTACACACATATGCCTTTGCTTTTTCACGTAGGATCATTTCTATTGTCGTTGTACCAGTTATCACCATCAACGCCTCGGTCGATGTCGTGCGATACGTTCTTGTCATTCTTAGTAATGCCGTCCGTTGCGCACTTCTTAACTTCCTTTTTATGCTGCCCTTTTCTGCAGCTATATACCACGCTCCTGCAGCATATGTTACCTTAGGAATAAATGCACCTTTATAGATTATATCGATGGCCTCTTTGCTGAGGCCCCATTTAGCCGTGGCCGCTCTGGCAAGTGCATTAAATAAGTTTGCGCCTACAGTTCTTACGTAAGTAGCATGCGGTGTCCAGGTAAACCAGTGATTTAGCACCACCCCCAGGTACATTATTTCCTTTTCTACCTTAATGCTGTGTCTCTCCATTTTAATAGTAGGCGATCTCTTATAAAGATCTGAGGTGTTTCCTCTTGTAAATATGATTGCTTTAGTTTTCCTAGGGTTAAAGTAGAGCTTAAGCTCGTTTCCCGTTTCTGATAATAATTTTAGTACTTTATTGCCTTTATCTTCAATTTCTCTCCTAGAATTTGAGCCAAATATTAAAATCGTATCATCAGCATACGCTAGTTCGACGATACCTTCTCTTTTATCAGCTTTTAAATAATTATCATATACTATATTCCAGAACAGGGGTCCGAAGTTAGACCCCTGTGTATAATGTTAATACAGTCGACTCCCGTGTAACGCTGCTGATTTTTCCGCTTTATATGAATTCAATGTTGTACGAGTCACTTAGATTCTACAAATACGTGTGCCGGGCTGTAAACGGCTTTCGGTATATTTTCCTTGGAATTAATAAGGAGAGGGTGTCAGGACAAGGCTGGGTGTCCAAGTTTAACAGTAGTCTATAATTCTCTTTGAGACCCAAAAAATAAAAATTTCTGTATTAACGTCAATATTTTATAGAGGCTTCATCATTTCGGAACCAACTGTAGGTGTAAGTTACAGTAAGTGAATGCTTCTTGAAATCATTTAAGAGTACAAGTAGGCTACTGTATAAAAGCAAATACATTTTTGTTTCCTTAGTAACCAGACAAACAATATCATAATTTGTTTGTTGTTTGTTTTTGATCTTTGACGCCCTGTATTTACGAAATCACTGCGCGATTGGTTGTTTCTCGCCTCCGTTATAAATCGATTTACTTTCTCACCAATACGAAAAGAATAATAATATTATGTTATACGAATCTAATTATATATATAGACATATCAAAGCTTGATATTCATTATAAAGCCAAACAATTGCCAGATTCAATCAGACTACTTTACTGCTGTGTGTTCTTGTCGCTTATCGTATCTCCCGTTTATCCAACACTTGGCGAATCAAGCTAACTTTAATGGATTCCGATACCAATGACACTTTCTCTCCGAAGTATGTCGGAGAGAAAGTGTCATTGGTATGTCTTCGGAGAGAAAGTCAAAAATTAATGGTTATTGTACGGCATGTATTGTGGATAGAATAATGCTTATGTTTAAGGTTTTTCGATTCGACGTTTTTAAATCTTGTCCGCGTCATACAAGCAATAATACTCGAAGAAAAAAGACATTCCTCGAAACTAGTTATAAGTATTATACGGTTTTCACAGAATACTTACTGTTTTCGATGGCTTGTCTAATGTTCGCAAATATTTTTTTAAAATTTAAATTATGTACAGATTAGATTAATGCTTTAAAGGGCGATTCTATATATTTTGCAATTATAATATTTTTTCTTTCTGTATTTGCCTCATTCCAATATAGTTTTCTAAAAAGGAAAAAAAATATTTTTCTTACAAAAAATTGTACTAGATTTTGAACGTAAGGAATTTTTAAATATCATTGACAGATTTCTCTTTATCGGTTGTATTTTATTATTTTCAGTAATTACGTCGGGAAATTTTGCTTTAGCATTTTTTATTTTCCCAAGTTACGAGCAATTTGATGATTCGTTATTATATATAACGTCTTGTTATTGTTTTAAATGGCTTTGGATAACGCTTCACGATTGTCAGTTTATTATTATACTTCTGAGTGTTTTGCTTATTTTTTTGACCAGTAAAAATTAATTTTCTAGGCTGTCGTCAGATCTATCAGAGTTCAGAAATGAAATTTCACTGGAAAGTCTGCTTGATGTAATTTCACTGGAAAGTCTGATTGAAAAACATACTGAGTTTTGGGAGTATTTTCAACACATCAATGAACAATGGGAATATTATTTTTTTCTGTGTTATGGATATCTTATTTACATGACAAGCTTTCTGGTTTATATTTCAAGTTTTATAGAAATAGATAACACTGTGAAACCTATGTTACATTTTTCAACTTTATGCTATTTAATTGCTACTCTTCTTTTCTCTTTTCGAATATCTCGCGTAAGTTGATTAGTAAGTACACTCGAAAATTTAATTTAATTAATAACTTTTCGTAGTATTATAAAAGAAATGACTTTTATTATTTAATTAGATTTATGAAAACTTTATATTTATTGGAAGATTCTCATTTTCGTATATTCCTATTACAAAGANTTTTAATTATTTTAATTATTTTTATTTCCAAACTGATTTTAACCAGTTCTATAGTAAGGTAACATTCCAATAGACAATATGCAAAGCTTTTTTTTTCAGTTTACAGCAGTATTTATTACACAAAATTTAAGTAAAGCTTAACATGCCGATCTTGCCCCGATCTCCCCTATATCAGAAGATTTTCCGACGCGTGAGCTGGCTACATGCGGTTGTCCATGCGAGAAGCACGGATTCTCCAAATTTAGCCCACACAGTTGCAGCGATTGTCAGAAGCACGATATTCCCCATTTTTATATAGGCCTATATTTTTTAATCCTTTATAATTTTAATTATTTAATTGCTCCTTCCTCTCTTCCTTGGCACGTTGTGAAATTTCTGATAGTTGGATAATAAACCGTTTTATTGTAATTTGTCTTTTTAAATTATTTTGAGTCGATATTGAAATTTGGAAAAGGGGGATACCTAAATTGGTAAAATAAAACCGGTAAAAAAATATCGAATTTCATCCTACAACTTCGGTAGTTGTTTGGAGTACAGTTAACGTTTTAACGAAGTTCGAGCGAATACATAATTAGCAAAAAAAAGTTGAAATAAAGTGATTAAACAAAAATTATTACAAATATCGTAAATAACAGTTCACAAATGTATATTCAGATTCATTTTATTACTAAAATACTGAGTTACAGTACATACCTGGTGCCATAGACATATAACCAGGTGCAGACAAGAACATATTGGCATTATTACAGATCATTAACATTAGAGGTTACAGTAACATTACATGTGTAGTATATACAAAAGATGAGAATAAAATAACAAGTTGGATGATACAGAGAACATATGCATTAAAATATACGGCAGAGAATCACAAAATACAGAATGTAAATAACAAAATACAATACATTATAGAATAATAATGCAGACAAAGCATGATACAATATTTCAGTAGAAAACATAATACAATAGCAATTAACTAAATTTACAATGACTTATTTGAGAAAATTAAAATACATAAACAATAATATAAAATTCAGTAAAAAAACAGTGTGTTACAAAGTAATAGTACCTGTAGCAATAAAAATAAGACAATACAACACAGTTAATGAGAAAGGTTATTTGTATCCAGGAACGGTGGTGCGATGAAAGTATGCACTGATGAGCCTTGTGAGGGCTTCATAGGCGTCTTTATTGTTCAGGATACCGTAGGATTCATTGGGCCAGCGGTATCCGTGCACCTCCATGGAGGACCGCAGGAAGTGCCTTTCATGATCGAACATAAAACAGTTGAAGATATAATGATCCGAGCTGTCGTCCACACCACAAAGAGGACAATCAGAGTTTGCAGCTCCAATAAATCTGGCCAGGTAAGACTCGAACCTGTCATGATTTGTTAAAAATTGAGGCATATGACGACATGGTTTGTACCAATTGTTTCAGAGAAATAGTTCAATATCGGGAATAAATTTGTGAGTAATTGGATGGTTAAGTGTGTTCCAATCATGTTGCCACTGCTGAAGTAGGTCTTTCCAAAGCATATTCTTGATAGTTTTAATGGTAGGGCTATTATAGCATATCTGGAGATTGTCGTCTTCACTGGCAGTCTTTGCAAGTATGTCGGCCCTCTCATTACCAAGTGTGCCCTGATGGGCACGAGTCCAGCTGACGTGATAGATATTATTGGAATTGTTAATGATGTCGTGGATACTAGCTGAGATAGGGTGAGAAGCTTGACTATTGAGCAAGGCTATAGAGGATTGACTGTCTGAGATGATGGACACTTTAGTATTGGTATAATTTGAGTCAGACCAGGCAATGGCCATTTTGATTGCATACATTTCAGCCTGAAAGGCTGTGCAGCCGGCACCAAGCTTGAACTGCCCTGAGGCAGTCTCCACATTGTCCCGGTAGACCACATAGCTACTGCCCACATTAGAATTGGTCTTAGATCCATCTGTAAAGATTTGAATATCAGCATCATCAGGTCGCGAGAAGTTTAGTTTCTTAAGAGAAGCAGGGTGTTTAGTATCAGCGAATTGGACTGGTCGTTCTAACTCTTGACGATGTATTTGTTGATTATTGACATGGATGGTGTTGCCCCACTTTAACTGCCAGATTTTCTCTTGTAGTCGGATGTAACTGTCAATAGGTGCCTTCCTCGCAAGGATTTGAAGAGAAGGGTTTGGGGTTGTGGAGTAAGCTTTGGTAATATGCATTAAGGCAGTTCTTTGTGCAGCAATAAGTTTGCGCTTGATGTGCACCTTGCGAACAGCCCACCCCCAGCTGCCGCAGGCGTATGTGATGATTGGGACAAAGATCTGGTTGTATATGGTATCCATGGCTTCCGAGTTCAATCCCCAACGTTGCCTTGCAATGACAGCAAAAGTATGAAAAATCCTGCCAGTCCGTGCGGTGATATACTCAGTATGGGCGTTCCAGAGCAGCCTGTGATCCAGAACCACACCCAGGTACTTAATGTTCTTGTCTACAGGAATTGTTTGTCCAGCCATTTTAATTGTGGGAACACGCAAATAGAGATTTCTGTTTCCGGGTTTATTGAACACAACGCACTTGGTTTTTCGGGCATTAAATTCCAGTTTGTACTCTTTCCCCCATTTTAGTATTTTGTCCAGGATATTATTGCCATTCTTTTCTAAGGCTGCTCTAGAGCTGCCTCCAAGAAGGACCAGGGCATCGTCAGCATAGGCCACGATGCAATGCTGTCCAAAGTCTTGAACAAAAAAGTCATTAAAAATCACATTCCAAAGAATCGGTCCACATACAGAACCCTGAGGGCAGCCGCGGACGATTTTTCGTCGAATGATGTGTCCTCCACATTGAAGAGTAGCCGTTCTGTCTTTTAAA